GGACAAAATCGTAAGAAGCAAAAGGTGTTATGTAGTATTATTTTTGGTGCTTTATGGTGCATTTGGAGAGCCCGTAATGAATTAGTATTCAAAGGAGTCAAGACCTCGCCGGCGGCTATTGTTGATATAGCAAAATCTATGGTCTTCGCATGGTTGAAACATAGATCATCAAATGGGAGTTTAGATTGGAAGTCTTGGATTTCTTCCCTCCTTAATTGCTAGTAAATATTTTTATTTTCTGTTCTTATACTCCTTGTTATCACTAGTTACTTGCTGGAGGTAACTTTTTAATATATTTGCCGGTTCCCAAAAAAAATAAAAGGTGTCGACTTTTGCTATGGGCGACTTTCAATGTTTAAATTTTCAATAATTGTGTTTGTAACAAGGAGAGTGGCAAAGAAATGTGTTACATTAGTGTTTGAAGCATGTTTGTTTGTATAAATACAAGATATAATTGTAAAATAAATTTTGAAAACTATTGTGCAAATTATTAAGGTGATGCAGGCAAACATGGGGTCTTTTTTGGGTAATAAACACCCGATAATTAAGTAGATGTTTCTTTAAAAACGACAAGCATATCACATAATTGTTCGAGAAATTGTTAATATGTTATTTTTTTTTTATCAGTAATTGAAGAAAGAAAATGAACAATTAAAAGAACAAGAATTCAAATCCAAAGAAGATTAGAAGAATATGGATCTGAAAATCTTTTCAACTTTGATGAAACCAATATATATAATAAAAAAAAATGTTGTCTAAAAATCTAGAACGGTAATATAGTCCTATGGTAAAATAAAGCTATAAACAGACTATATAATTGTTGGGTATAAAAATTTACTTTTTTTTTCTAGCAATAACTAAAAAAAAATGGATTAAAGCATGGGTTTTTTTCAAACCGGATGAAAATCCGGTGTGCCCTTTCTTCTTAAATCTAGTATTACACTTGGATCTTGGAATGGGCCGTATACTATAACAATAACAAGAGGAAACTACAGAGTTAATGGCTTATGTCATACCATGCTCATAGTTTGAGATTTTGAATATTTGATTAGCTTATATGGCCTCTTATATACAAAAATCTTTATATCTATAAATTTTATAAAGGTCTTTAAATATCATTATGACTCAAGATAAGTTATCTAAATCATATTTAATTGAAACTCTCCAACTCTTAAAATTTCTAATAATTAACTATATCATTATTTAATGCTAAAACTTTTCAATTTTTAATTAATCAACCACTACAACTCAAAAGTTTTTTAACTTATAATATTCAATTGATACTTATAACACCGAATTGATATAGAGATGTATATAGTTCACATAGGTATATTTGGTTGCTGGAGTTTGAAACATAAGATGGAGGAAAAGATTACTTGATAACACAAAATTTTGTAATTTGAAGGCGCATCTTTATTTATGTTGAATTAGAAGGATGAAGATAAAGAAGCTAAAACATATTACAAGTCGCGAGACAAGAGACATGTTGCATGCTTGATGATGATGTCGGCGTTATTGATGGGAGTGTGAATCAGTATCAAGTTTATTTGACTAGAATCAATGAAATAAATAGGAGATGAGTATTATGTGGATGTGTCTTGAAATTTGTAGTAAAATTACATGTGTATATAGGTTGTGGTGTGTTGATATATTTCTTTTCTTAATATAT